AGAATGGTTATCGGGATACGCCATGGCAAATTTGTCAAGGCATTGGGTCTTCAGCCCGTTTAGGTAGGTTTAATCAAAGAATCTTGAAGAATTGAAGATTGGACATTTGTAAAGTGTCTAAATTGAAACATTTTTATAAAAATGATTTTTTAATTTGCCAATTGTCGTGCATTAATGATATAAGAATATATAGAATTATTAATAGTACAGAGTATACGATACATTTTTGTCATTTACGGTTTTTTTTTTTTGGTATTATATTTAGTCTCCAATTGTACCTTATCAGAAATATTGAACTTTTATAGTCGATAAATTATTGCACCATTTCAGATTATTCTTGACCACCGAGCAAACTGATTTTTTCATAGTTCACTGGTTTGGATTTATCTTTGACCTTACCGTTGGATTTTGGATGCTGTTCGATAAAACTCGTATCCCTGCTATGGTATTTTGTACTGCTTTCCACTTAATGAACTCTAGGTTATTTAGCATTGGTAAGCATTCCCACACCATTCTCTGCACGTATTCTCTCATGATGGATAATTGTATAATTCAAAGGAAAAATCATACCGTTACGAATATTATATTAATTTCAGTGTTTATCCTCAGGAATGTTTCCATACGTATGCCTTGCGACAATGCCACTCTTTTGTAAACCAAATTGGCCCCGAAGACTCGGCATTTTTCTCAAACGTAAATCTTACTTTTCATTTTCTGCGAAAATTCAGGACATAAAGATCTGTAATAAAGCCACGATAGATCTGCCGAAAGAGTCGCACGATAATCTAAGTGGAAATGGGTCATCGATCGATAATGGAAATCGAGAAGGTACAAATTCGATAAACTCTACAATTACTTGTAAAAACACGAAGAGAATCGATCGAGGAAAATCGGCTAAAGTGACGAGGAAGCAAAAGTTCGTAGTTTCTCTGTTACTATTCCATGTATTCTTGCAGTTTTTCTTACCATACTCTCATTTTATCACGAAGGTACACTAATAATAAGTTCCTGATTACACCAATCGTTTACTTTTATCTTTTTCTTTTCTTTTATTTTTTAATCCATTCGTTTTTCTTTCTTTTTTTTTCTCTCTCTCTCTCTTATCAGGGTTACAACAATTGGGTACCAGGAATGTACGGATACTCTTGGGATATGATGGTCCACGTTTGGGACACTGTACTCGTCGTGGTTAAAGTTCACGACAACGCGAGTAACGAGGATCGTTATTTGGATCCTACAGCTTGGGTACAGAGTAATAGATGGGAGAAACATGGTGACATGCTTGTACAATACGCCTCTTGTTTGAAAGTAAGTGTTATCTTTATCAATAAACACGTGTCATTGAATTAAGTAATAGCTAAGAAATCAGAGATTCTTTTTTATTTATGAATCCAATGGAATTTTTAGATTTTTGAGAATAAATTTATTTTAAGTTTATTTTAAAATTTTGTGAAAGTAAGTAATGTGTTATCGTTATTGAAATTCGTATCATAGAATTAAGTAATTTTATTTTGAAGAAAGAGATTTTTCTTTTACAAATCCAATGTAATCTTTAGAATTTAAAAATACTATATCAGGAAGTTTCATATTATCTGTATAACGGAGAATAATTTAATATTCGCAGGAGAATTTGATTAAGCAGGAGAACCAATTTTTCGAGAATAATTTCCAACGCGATAAAAGGCCAAAATGGTCGCGATTGTCATCGAATTTGAGTATCTATATCGACGTGTGGTGCTCGTTAAATGGAAGATTCCAACAGAGAATGTTTAATCCAAATGTTGACATGTTAACGGTAGATTGGCATCCTTTTAAGCCCATCTCGTTTTTAATGCCACTTCTTTCCCAGTATAATTCTTACAGGTATGGATAAACGTAATTCATTTCGTTTAATGTTTCACGATTATTTCATCGAGGATTGCTTATAAAATGGCTGTGATAAACTGTGATAAATCTCCATCATTATTTTTCACTCTTTTCTTAATTCAAAATGAGAATAATTTTTAAAATTATAATATAAGAAAAATATTTCTCTCTTGAGAAATTAATTATTTGATCCATATATATCTAATTTTCAATTTATATTAATGCAGAATATTATTATTACATTCTATTTAGATACAAACTGGAAGAAATTCAGCAACAAATTTACACTTGGTCCAACGACACCGACGTCCTCTTCGTTGCCGATTTTCCAGGCATGCATTTGGATAATTACATCACCAAAAATTTCACCAACGTCACGTTAACGGTACTCGAAGGTGAAGTAACGTACAGCGACGAAAAACGGAAACACGACATCATGGTAGCAAAGGGATCATCGATTCCGATAGAAACGGGACAATTTCACAAAGTAAAAACTATTAGTGCTTATCCAGCTTGCTATATGTACACCTGTACCAATCTGAACAAACAGCAATCAGAAACTAATGGGTATTTCACAATTTTACAAATTTCTAAAAATACATAGACAATTTCTTAATCGTTAAATATCTTTATTAAATTCTTCAAATATTTACTTGCTTTGGAAAAATTAAAATATGTTTCAATCTAATTAAGAACAATATTGCAATAGATTTAAAAAATACGTGATTCTTAATTTTTTTTTTACAGAACAACAGAGCTTGAAGAATCGAAAGAAGGTCTATCAATCGCAAAGGAAATAAATTATAAAATCGACGCTTGGATAAGAGCGTTCCATCACATTGCGAATGCATTTTTCTATTTAGTATACGATGTGCCCATGGTTCGAAGAGTGCAGATAAGCAATTAATTAATTTAATTCCTTTTATGAAGTAAAGCGATTTCCGTTTCCTCGAATGAATAATTATTTGGAAATAGGAAATGGGAAGGCGAAAGAAAAAATTTATTTTTTTACCTGTCGAGGGTAAAATTGTGATAACGATTCTCAGCGAATAGCATTATGATTAGCTACATACGATTAATTGTTACAAATTAAATACGTTCGAAGATAATTTATTATAATTTTATCAGTTATCTCGCGTCAAAAATATGAGAAGTGGGAAGAAAAACTTTTCACCTTTGAGAGTGCGAAGATAACGATTGTAACATTGTACGTCTATTATTAATTCTTAATAAAAAAGATAAAGTAGAAGACGATCGTAATCATCAAGTACGTCGATTCATCTAAGCCTATTTAGAATCGCATCTCATAACACGTTCGAATCTCTTTTCTTAACTTAATTGAAGAACGATGACGCGAAATTAATCTCAAGGATATCGAACTTGCGATCGTATAGATATATGTGATCGATTATATTGTTTATAGATAAATAATGAAAGTAAACAATCCGCATCTTTCTTCTATTAATCATTGATTAACAGATAATCGTGGAAATTTATTGAGAACATTACAATAGATATTCAACGTGAGACGTAATATCCAATAATTTTATATAATGATAGATGGAAAATTTAATTTCAGAATAAATAATTTTTACAATTGAAGTCAAGAAGTTTGGTTCGTTTAAAGAAATAATTCTTTCGAAATTGATGACAAGATATTGAAATCAATTTTGTAATTCTCGACGCAAGATAACACAAATCGTTAAAATTAACGAACTGTGGCTGTGAAATGTACACAATTATATATTCCCTCTCTCCTTCTCTGGCGTAGTAACGCTTGTTGTAAATCTCGTACGCCTACGTTAATCGCATAAATTTGATAGCTCGTATCATTGTAATAAGCTTTCTCGTCTGATAAGTTGTAAGTAAATGCATCCGGTGAATCTGTTCATCATCTCAGTAACGTACCTACTATTTCATATTATCTCGTTTTCGACAAAGCTTGTTCGAATAACGATGTTATCGTCAACGCAATATAAAATGTGTTGCCACCTGTTTTCTTTACGATATTGTTTTTATCAATATTTTTTTTTTTAGGAATAATTATAGAAATAATTTTTTAACGGTTTATACAGATACTTTTAAAAGTTGTATATCCAAGATAAATTGTTTTTGAAAAAGTTTATACTATTTTTCATCAATGAGTTATTTTATTTTTTTTTATGATTATTATTGTTTTTCTTTTTTGCATATTTTATGCTTTGTTCAAAAATTTATTAATTTTGATTTAATGTTCAGATATTTTTGAAAGTAATTATATAAATAGAAATGTAAAAATCACAAATATGTATTAATTTATTCTCTTTTTAACGAGTTAAAAACAGGTTTACGGTTTAATAAGCGCGAATGTGGAAACCTGTCGAGAAAAAAATCTAATAAAATGAATCTTTCTAGATAAAAAATCAAAATTAACAAGTGTACGATAAATATTTATGTAAAATTTCCATGATTAATCTTTAGATATAGAATCGTGAGTCGATGGAGTCCATTCTTGAATCGATGGAATTATAACAATGTCTCGTTTAAGAATCGAGGACACTGACACGAGTGAATCAACCCAACGATTATCATTATCATACTATTGCAATATGCGTAATTTCTATTACGACTTTACCTGACCAGTATGCTTATCTAGATACGTGGTGGAGGAAACGAGTGTCGATCGTCAGTCGCTCGTACACGTTCAGAGGCCTTCGACACATGAAACGATGTAGTGGAATCGTTGATAATACAATTGATCAATCGTGAAATAGGTGAACGTTAAAGAAAAGTGTAAACGATTTTGGAGTGACACGATCGGACTATTGATTATTTTCAAGTTTATTTATTGAATGAAAATAATTGAACGATGATTGTAGTAATGTAGTAAGTGAGAAAATATTGGTGATAAAAAAAAAATTTGTGGAAAATTTGTAAATTTGTATACGAGGGAATAGATATACAATGAAATATGAATGATTCTTGATCGATTAAAGATCTCTCTTGAGATTAAAAAATGAAAGATTGAATTTGAAGTGGATTTGAAGTGAAAACAATTTTGAAGAGAATATTAAGTAATCGGTTAGCATTATTTGCTAGTTTTGATATACTTTACATTTCTTTTGAATATGAATATTTAATACAGATTCACCCATTAAAATCAAATTTATTAATCTTCGTTCCAAATAGTTTGAAAATCGTTTATTTCTATTTGATTCTCAGAGAAAAGTAAAAAACATGATAACTGATCAAGATAACGATATAGAAAGAACGAAATCCACGGATCCTCTTTTGGAGGCGCTCGATAAATTGGGTTGCGGATCCAACTTTCTATGGATAATATTTATTTTTACGCTCACGCCGACTATATTCAATGGAATGCACTCTATGTCCTATATCTTTATTGCAGAAGTAAGATTAACTCATTAATCGATGAATGGTACACTTGATATCTCCATAGATCTAACTTTTGTTTAAAATTAAAATAAGAAATATTTCAAATAGTAATTATATTATAAATATTATAAATATATAGATAAAAATATTATTTCTCATAGGTTCCCACGCATTGGTGCGCAATACCAAGTTTGACTGCTGCAAATTGGACAGATGAAGAAATAAGAAATATCTCTTCCTCCGGTTCGTGCACGATGTATAATTACGATTACGAGTATTTCGCGCATATTGGATACGAGGAAGCTTTGGAATACAAAATTTCTCACACCCTACCCGAGTCGATCCCTTGCCAATCGAGGAGCTTCGCAAACGATATCGATGGAACTTCTCTCGTTCAAGACGTGAGTATTAGATAACGATGATTCATTCTCGTCAGAAATTCTTCTTCTTTATCCTGTTCGATTCTCAATATTGCAACGACATCTACACCATTCACAATTAATTTTAGATATAAAACTCGAAAGATATATAAAATTTTCTTTATCGATATATATTTGTGTCCTCTTGAAATTGAATTCTTTTGAAAAAAGTTGTCAATAATATAATTATATCATGATTGAATTTCATACCGATTTTATTAATAAATAATTTTTAGTGGGATTTGGTGTGCGAAAAAACAGCTGATCGTTCGAGCACTCACATGGCTTTGTCCCTTGGAAAATTATTGGGCAGTGCTTTTTTCGGGATTGTGGCGGATAAGTATGGTCGCAAGATATGTTACGCCGTTGGTATAATAATGTTGATCACGTCTGGTCCAGCCGGTGCTGTTGTACCGTGGTACTGGGCTTTTATAATCTCGAGGCTAATTAATGGTGCCAGTCACGCTGCTATACAATACTCATCTTTCACGACACGTAAGTTGCACGCGTGTGTCAACGAAGTTATGACATATATATTTAGCATTAGTAAAAAGAAAAAAAAAATCATTAACACGAAAACTTTTAAGATATTCTATTTTACAAAATATTTTAATAAAATCTTCAATTACGTATTATTTGATGGATTATATTTCACTATGATCAGTGTATAATTTTCAATTGTTCATATTGTACAGTTACAGAGGTAGCAAGCGAGAAACATAGAAGGTGGATGGGAATCGCTTACAACACTGGATACGCTACAGGAATAGTCATTGTACCGGGTATAGCTTATTTGTTACACGAATGGAGACACATTCAATTAGCGATATCTTTGCCGGCTCTGCTTCTGTTAATACATCTATGGTAAGTACACAATTATGTAATGTGCTAATATCATTGGTTGTCAAAAATAATCTTGTCGTTTTTCGAAAGAATTCTTCTTTGAAAGATTGAATTGAATTAATCCAGGAATTTAATCGATATTCTATTTTTGGAGACATTTATTATAATGAATATAAAGATAATTTTATTTTTAGGTTCATGCCGGAATCTCCAAGATGGCTGATAGCGCATAATCGTCGAAAAGAGGCGAAGATCTTGATCGATAAGGCGTCTAAAATAAATCAAATTGAAAGAACGAGCACGGTATCGTTAACCATAAAAAAGCAAGAATTGAGAGATACGAATGATATAACGTTTAATCCGAAATTGATATCAAACAGCATCGAGGATAATTTGCACAAAAATATCAAAGGATTTCAAGTGCTAATTAGCAACTGTGAATTACGAAAGAGAATTCTTATCACGAATTTTACTTGGATGACTGCGTCTCTGACTTATTATGCGTTAGGTAAACACAAGATCAGGCTTTATCCACGATAAAACATGAAAAATTATCTTTAAAAGTTTTGATTGCATTTTTTTTTATCAAATAATTGTATTCATTCTATTCTTTTTTTTCTCTTTTTGGAAGTTGTTTTTATCAACGATACATGTGTTACATTTCAGCGTTAAACGTGAACAATTTCTCAACAAATCGTTACATTTACGTCCTCGTAATGGGTCTAACCGAAATACCGGCTTACTTGATACCAACTCCTATTCTAATGATAATAGGACGACGCCGTGGAAGTGAGATTTTATACATCATTGCTGCGCTATGTTTATTGTGCATTCTAGCCATACCGACCAGCGAAACGGATGTGATTATGGTTATATCTTTGATCGGAAGGTTTAGCGCATCGGCCGCTTATGGCATAGTTATTTTATACAGCTCAGAACTTTTTCCCACGGTAAATACACCTTCATTCTTTTATATCATTTTTATTTCATATTTCCAATCTAATGGTTCTCTTACCTTGTAATTTCTTCAGATAATACTTGAACTCATTTTTACCTCTTTACAGAATTTATTTATTATTTCTGTTTAATCTGTCATATATATAATCTCTTCGATAATTTTTCAAATCCCATAGAAATTCATATTCAATTTTGCATATCGTAGAATTTTATTTTCTATTTATTTTATTTTCTATTATTTTATTTTCTATTTATTTCCATGGTATTTTTAATCCATTAATGGATCGACTCCTCGCCTTACAATCTCTTGGACAGATTTTCAGATAGCATATAAAATAACACTAATTAATCTCTTTTTTTACCATCTTTGAATTATTCTCGAGAACAGGTGTGCAGGAATTCTGCAGTCGGTACCAATTCCGCGATGTCCCATATTGGAAGTGTGGCTGCGCCTTACGTTGCTGATTTATTAGGGGCCGTGATATGGTGGGGGCCAACAACGCTTTGCGGTGGTTTAGCGCTAATAGCTGGTTTGTTATGCTCGATATTGCCTGAAACACGTGGCAGGCCTTTGGCGAACACGGTAGACGAGGAAGTCACCGAGGGAAGAGAAAACGTGTCTTTCCACAATTGTTGCAAGTGTCGATGAAAAACTGATAAAAACTTGGATACAGTACACTGCCGATCAAAAGTTTCGAATCGTTAATCGTGCACAGAATAATTTAGTAGAAAAGAAAAGAATTGGAATTCCGTTGAACTGGATATCTGTGAATTGATAATAAAATTAATGAAAATTTGATTTTTGATCGATAGTGTATCTACATTTCGTTTCATATTGCTTTTATACAAGGTAATATTTTATATAAGTTATACGTAGTGTAGTTTCACTCGTTTACAAAGGAATTCGATTTAAATCTGCCAAATATTTTTTACCCAAGTGTGTTGCTTTAATTTTGAAATGGAAATAAATTTGTACTGATTTATAATACACATAGCGATCCGAAAATTCTTTCTATTCCTTTTTCGACGATATTTCATTTCATGTCCAAAGTTATAACATTATATTTGAGCGAACAGTCTAACTCGTTTACAGTGAATAATTCTCTCTCGTTTATTAAGTGTTATATAATAAGTTAACTATTGTAATTATCGTACATATCATGTGTATATATATATATATATATATATATATATGGAAAAAGACACGCGATTATTTTAATTTGAACATATTTCCTGTGTTGATAACAATCTTTTATTGTATTATTCCATATAAAACAAGCAATATAACGAATAATATCTTCAATGTAACATATTGCAAGATAGTCTCGCGTTGAAAGAAGGCGTAATGTAAATTCGAAGCATGAAGAATTTATCGTTCATTTATCTCTGGTTTATCTTCTGTTTTGTAAGAATAGATTACATATATTATTTATAAATTATACATTTGTGTAATTGTAAGATATTGTACTATTCAGGGGCTTCAAAATTTACGTGCAAGAAACATCAAAATTTCTAATCAAGATATTGCAGAATGCATGGATCGATCAAACATGACATTTCGTAAGTAAAAATATCGTAACAAAGTTGAGATTATCACGTAATAAAATCGACCTTCTTCGTTAATTTTTAAAATTTATGAAATTCATAAACTTGTGATTTGATTAGGTATATTTACAC